CCTGACCAAGCTGATCTCCTTTGATCAGATCAAGGCTGTGGATGTGTCTGCCTGAACTTCAGCAAAGCCTTTGACACCATCTCCCACAGCATCCTCCAGGAAAAGCTGACAGCTCACAGCCCGGACACTCTTTTCTGGGTTAAGAACTTGCTGGATGGCCAAACCCAGAGAGTTGTGGTGAACAGTGTTGTGTCGAGTTGGCAGCCAGTCACTAGTGATGTCCTCCAGGGATCAGTGTTGGGCCCAGTCCTGTTTTATTGATGTTCTGGATGAGGGAGTAGAGTCCACCATCAGCAAATTTGCAGGTGACACGAAGTTGTGGAGGAGTGTGGAAGGGTAGGAGCGCTCTGCAGAGGGGCCTCAACAGGCTGAATGGATGGGCTGACTCCAACAATGGATGGGTTCTGCACTTTGGCCACAGCAACCCTCTGCAGTGCGACAGGCTGGGGACAGAGTGGCTGGACAGTGGCCAGGCAGAACGGGATGTAGGGGTGCTGGTTGGGAACATGAGCCAGCAGTGTGCGCAGGTGGCCAAGAAAGCCAAAGGTGCCTGGCCTGTATCAGGAATAGTGTGGCCAGCAGGAGCAGGGAAGTCATTCTTCTCCCGTACTTGGCACTGATGAGGCTCCGCTGTAAATACTGTGTCCAGTTCTGAGACCCCAATTTGGGAAGGATGTTGAGATGCTGGAGTGTGTCCAGAAAGGGGCAATGAAGCTAGTGAAGGGTAGCATAAGTCCATGAGGAATGTCTGAGGAATCTGAGGTTGTTTAACTTAGAGGAGAGGAGGCTCAGGGAGACCCTCTACATTGCTCTCTACAACTCCCTGAAAGGAGGCTGTAGCCAAGTGAGGGTAATTTTCTTCTCCCAGCAATAGGACAAGAGGAAACAGTCTTAAGTTCCTTCAGGTGACATTTAGGTTGAACATTAGGAAGAATTTCTTCACAGAAAGGGTGATGGGGTATTGGAATGAAGTGCCCAGGGAGGTGGTAGAGTCACAGTTCCTGGAGGTGTTTTAGGAAAGACTGGATGTGGCACTCAGTGCCATGGTCTGGTTGACACAGTTGTGTCTGGTCACAGGTTGGACTCAATTATCTCAAAGGTCTTTTCCATCCTAGTTGATTCTGTGATTTTTCCCTGCTGCCAGGCAGTAATGTTTGGCCTCCTGAAATGCTTTTACTTAATCTATGTATACACTCCATTTAGAAGACCATATCTAATGGGAAAAAGTTCCAACAACCAGGCAATAGATTTGTTTTCCTTTGCCTTTAAATGAAATATCAATGGATGGATATTTTATTTTTAGCTGAATATGAAATTTCACAAGCGACCTGTCAAGCTCCTGTTTTCAAGAATGACTTTATTTCACACATCAAGACAGCCTGGGAAATTAGTTTTTCTCACAGAGGACTCTTATTAGGGATTACAAAGTGAGTGTGGCACAGAGTGATTTTTCCTCCATCTTTTCCCTCGCCCCACCAACTTAGAGAGTGCCTAACTCTGCTGACTAAGGGGAGAAATTCGTTACTATGCGTGGGAGGGGGATGGGAAGAAAGATAGTCATATTAAGTAGACTTGCCGGCCCAAGAGAGAATAGGAGAAGCATAATAATACTTAGCCCGTATCATTCTTTTCATCAGTATATATCAAAGCACTTGAAAAAGGAGGTTGATTTGAAGGAAAAAGAGATAAATTCCAATTGCAAGCAGCCTATTGCAGAGGCACCAACAGGAAGGCTCACTTTCATGATAGTATCTTCTGACTGTGGGTCTGCAGGGTAGAGAAATGAACAGGTCCTTTCCTCTGAAAAATGCAGAAGTACATTTCAAACGTTATTGACTTACCCAGTGTAACTCTCATGGGGTTTGGCAAAATATGAGGTCCAGTCCAAGAATCAGAGAGAGCAAGGAGATTATGTACTACTAGTAAATGACAGAGCAGACAGGACCTATTTGCCAGCAGACAATGGCTGATTCACACCATTGTTTAACTCCTCACAGAAGCAATAAATAGTCCAGATGAAGGGCTGAGGCATTTTTACCCTATGGAAAACCTGGCCCATTCTGGGGCATTTCTATTGTTATCCAGTAGATTAGTAGAAGTTACTGGAGTATAAAGCAGTCTTGTTCTGCTGTATATGAACAGCAATATTTGGCTCCACTGTTAAAAGTCCTGCATTGGATGATCTGATACAGTTTACTGCCTGATTTCCTTTGGGTCACATGAAAGAGCTGCACATGAGGAATCATACACTGAAACCATCAATCCCAGGGTCAGTCTTCATATTCAAGAGCAATGCTGCGTCCCTACTGGCGACACATCCTTAACTGCTTACCTGCACATCCCATTGCAGAGAACTCTTAGAAAAACCTCTTCTTTTTCTCTTCTTTCTTTGTAGTAGTGTGTAGATCTAGCTTGAATCTATTTGCCAGTGGCTTTTCTGCCCTGTGTATATGATAGCAATATTCAAAGAGACCCGAAGTCCTGCTGCAACAGGCAACCCAGGAAAACATCTCTTGGGAGGCAAGATGAGATCCCATTGGATTTGCTGTGCAGTCACTATGACTCACATCAGAAGGGAAGAACAGGGGCAAGCATTTCATGTGGAAGTTACCTATGTTTTCATGATGTCATCTACAATAATGGCTTGGTTTCCAACAGTGTTGAGGCATCAGCAAATGCCTGAGGCAGTTCTCTGGCCCTAAGATTTCCAGGGCAAATAGAGAGCAAGAGAAGAGGAGAAGGAAGAAGACACCAATTTATTTACACTTCTCTGTGATGCTAACAGGAGCAGGTCACATCTTCAAAACCCCTTCTTCAGAGATGAATGCACTCTCATCTCACTCAGTTTCAAAATCCTCCATCCTGCATTGTGCCTATCGTGATTCAGGCTCCGTTCTGCAAATCACAACGGCAGCTCTGAACAGCCCAATCTGCTGTGGACCAGTGCTTCCCTCCAGTACAGCTGCAAATAGGTTTAAATCATTAGATGCAAGTTACCAAACAGTCTCTTGGATCAGGGTTAATTAAATGAGTGTTGAAATCTAATTAAGAACTGGTCCAGGTGATAATTAGCAGGAAATGTATGCATTAAAATATTCATTTGTCGGTGAACTGCAATTAAGAGTGTGATTTGGGGAAGGATCAATATCTGCATCATGTGATCTAAAGAAAAATTAAAAGTCACCCAGCCCTCAACAGAAATGCAGAGGAATTTTGGCTACAGCTTTTGTTTTTTCTCTCTTCTCCTCCACTTCCCCTGCTGTTTTGGTTCTATAATAACTACTGAAGATTGCTCTCCATTTTTGAATGGAGCATTCATCTCTGCATCCCTTTGTTTTCCTGAAGCACTTCTTTCAAAACCTTGCTCTTCATCACATTTTGTGAGTGGGTTAAAGATTTATTAGAGAGAGACTAACAGGTCAAAAAGAAAGATTCTTTGCCAATGAAAATCACTTTCTCCCGGTACAGATTGCTAATCCAGGGGAACATTGCTTATTGTGTGGTGTTAGATTGTTGGGGTCTTTTTTTAGCACGTTAATTCCTCAAGTCTTTATTCAAAACTGAGGATCTGAAGTGGCTATTGAATATGCATAGCTTAGACTTATGTCTGTAGCTGTGTTTTACTACACTCTTCCCATTTTGTAGCATAGCAATTCTGCTTTCACTGAGGCTATTTTTTTTTTTTTTACAGGTACATAGGGGTGTATGTAAACCAGTTAGTAATATTTTTCTTGTGCAATCCCAGAAAATTCCTCCTCTGCTAGGAAAACAAGGATCCTGCAACAGTTCAGCTCATTGGGCATGGAGCTAGTCTTGCTCTGCTGTCACAGCCAGAAACTGAGCTAGTCTTTTCCCCACTGACTGTACTTCTACCAGGGAATACCAATTGTTAAAATACAAGCTATGGGAGCACAATTATTTCAGCTGCATTCTGTCAGTGTCCTGACAGCTCACCTGCCCATCTACCCAGGCTGGGTGGCAGCCCAGCTCCCAAGGCAACTGTCCACTGCTCTGTGGCTGCAGCCAGATTGTCCCTCCCCTACACCTCCTCTTTCCCTGGGGAGGCTGCCTGTGGGGAAGCAACCAACCCATTAAATTAGGACTTCCTTGGAGAAAGACCAAAAAATACCTTCCTAGGTAGATCTATTTCTTCTCATCTCTGCCCCCTATTAGAAATTTAAGGATTGCAGCTATTGACCCTTCATCTGGTTTTGGGAAGGAGAGGGATTCCTTGCATTCCCAAAAGCACTACATTTTTCACAGATTTCTTCAGGCAGCTCTGATGATCATCCATACTTCTGTGCTGGTGTTGACTGCAGACATAATCCTAATATTGTAAATCTTTCCTGGAAATGTGTGGGCTCTTTCATGGTAGCCTCTATTTCCTACTGTTTGTGGAGTGGGAGCTCAGGTCCATCCAGTACTATTTTTACTCTAGTATTGCTGAAGAGATGCTATTTCATGATGACACATACCCCCTCCCCAGCATACTGACTCCTGTCTCCAAGGCTGGGTAGAGATTTCTCACTGGAGTTGGGGGTTACAAGACATTGTGAAAGGGAGATCCACTTCAGGGGTCTTCAATGCAGAGACCTCACACATTCCACCAAAACAAATCAGTCTACAAATACTACCACACTCATGCAGCAAAGCCGCCTACATTTTGCTGCACTGTGTCCAGATCTTTGTCCTCTGATTCAGCATTCTGGGCCTGAAGGGTGAAAGAATAAGGCAACAACTTTTGCCAAGAAAATGTAAATGACATCCTAGAAGTTTGAATTTTGGAGGAAACTAGGAGCCAGGCTGCTGGTACTCACCCTCCAGGGTCCTTTACTTCCTGATGCTCTTGCAAAAGTCAAAATTCACAGCCTGATAGGTTGCACGGAAAACATCAGCACCTGGATCCCATTCTACTAAATCTGTGTTAGATGTATGGATTGATGAGCTGGTGTGCATCAGGCTTATTCCTTGTGTGTCTCCTTTTGTTTCCTGTGCTGCAGGGAGCCTCTTCAAGCCTGGTGGTGAAGTTTGCAGACACGGACAAGGAGCGCACGATGAGGCGCATGCAGCAAATGGCAGGACAAATGGGCATGTTCAACCCCATGGCCATCCAGTTTGGAGCTTATGGCGCCTATGCACAGGCAGTAAGTATAGAGAGCAGCTCTCTGCATGCTCATGGGAGGGGAAGTATCACCTAGAAATGCACAAAAACTCATGGGATTGGCCAAAAAACCTGAGCAGAAAAGGAAGTGGTGGCTTATCTGTTGAACTGGTTACATGATGGGAGTAAAAATTAGCCACGCCATCCAGGGTAGACTCTGGGAATCTCCCAGGTATCTCCAAGACAGTTCTAGCAGTAACTTTTGGTCATGTGTGGACCCATACAAAACACTTACTATGGGTGCTAAGCCACTATTGTCAAATGAAAGCACAGCTACACTTTGAGGATTTGGATAAAATAAGCCTGCTGAGTTTATCCCAGTTCTCTGCCTCACATCACCAGTACCCAGCAGCACCTTGCATCGTTGTGGGTACCTTTGGAGTGACCACAGGAGAAAACAGCAACTGATGAGAGAAATGCTTTTAGATAGATAATAATAAATTATACACACAGACATATGCCCACACACAGTCCTGCTGCCCCAAACAGTATGATTGAAACACGCTGGGAAAAATTCCTGTTGTGCTAACTTCAGCTTTCCTGTGGACATACCAAACCTGAGAAGTGACTGTACAGGGGGCTGTGCTCTTGATGATGTTATGAAATTGATTCCTCTGAAATTACTTGTTTTCCTTAGCCTAAAATTAACAAGGATCTACAAGACAAGACCAGACTCAGGTAACTTGGACTCTCTGCCAGATATTTTGGAGGAGGGTGGAGGTGATGCCTGCAGCAGGCAGACACAATGCTTCCCAGTGACTTTAGCTGTTTTCTCTGAAGCAGATTTTCAGCCAGTGACAGTGTATATAGGGTCTTCTTCTATTTGATGACAAAATGTGGGCCCCTGCACAATTTGTGCCCAGGAGGGAAGTGCTGTTGAACACATTGTCCAGAGTAGCATCTTCCTTAATGGGAGACCCAAACCTTGCCTTAGGTATGCAGGGCCAGATCAGGAATAACACTCTGGTGTGCCAATAATCCTTCCAGAGCAATGACCACAAGGTTTTCCTTTCTTCCCTGACTGTTTCTTTCTCATGTGTTGGCACCAAGTGTTTCCCAACACATGACCATGTTCTGGTTTTAATTTGAAGGTCTTGACATTTCTGTTCTTCTCTGATAGCCTTGTGCCTTGCTGAACACTCAGTACAACCCAGACTACCCCTTGTGTTAGACATGCAGAGTTGTGAGGATGTGCTGTAGAGCTCCACTGAAGTTCCTCCTCTGCTTCCAGCTGCACCTCTTGGTGCACTTCTGGAATTTTTATTCTCTCTCTTCTAGAAAAATTCTATATTTTTTCTTCCATTTTGCTATCTTCATTTTTATTCCTAGTCAAAGTCATTCTCTGTCTCTTCTTTCTCCTATGCTCTCTTCCTCACTTTATAGAAGATCTTCTTCCTCCTCAGCCTGGCTGTGTTTAACACTGCCTCTGGCCAGAGAATGCTGCAGGAAGAGGAAAAGAGACAGTAAATCCCAAATGAGCCTGGGTCAGTGGCCAACAGACTCTCAGAGGGATGTAGCACCTTTGCCCCCATGTACCAGAGGAATTAACAGGAGGCAATCCACTGACAGCTTTGGACAAACATTTTCTGAGGTTGTCAGACAGGAGAAGTGGCTTCAGTGCTACTCTACAGACACTGGTCAGGCAGCTGGAGAGATGGTAAAGACACCACTATCCTGATGTTCTGGTCCAAAAACTCTTTTTGCATTATTTTTAATCTAGAGTAACTCTTTAATTTCCAGAGAAGGTTTATATTGATATGAGAGGATGCAGTCTGCGCCTTTACACCACTAAAGTTTCTTCTGTTTCTCACCAGACAATACAGGTGCATTATGAGGAGAGGTAAGGAATCAGGCCAGGAGGAATCAGGGCAAGAGTAATAGGAAAAACAATTTCTGGTTTTCTCCCATCCACTTGAAACAAATGGATATTTTTAATGTCAATTTCTGTGAAATCAGAATTGGACCCATACTCTTTTTTTATTTTTCTGATAAAACTGCTAATAAGGGGGGAAAAATAAGTTTTAGATCTTGACCTATTGGATATGACAAGCTGGTGACACCAATTACCCTGGGGACTTCAGAGCTATCTAAATGATGGGATCACATTTCTGTGTGGTGCCTGTAGACCCAGAGTGTGCTCAGATGCTGTCTCTCAATCAGCCTTCCTATCTGCTCCATCTCACAGTCTCACATGAAAGGGAAGGAAGGGAGCGTCGAGGTTCTGTGACGTTTCCTTGGTCCCGATTAATCCAGCTCGGACTGCTGGTTCTCAGATATCAGGGTGATTGGCACCTCACAAATGCCAGCAGGAGATGGAGGAATCGATAGGGGAGAGGCAAAGGGAGACAGCAGTTTTATTCAGCCTGAAGTCAAAGAGCTAAGGCAAGCAAGAGGAAGGAAGCTGAAATATCAGGAGCAAAACTGTCACGACTGTTGAGGCCACTGCCACCAGCAAGTCTTGTGACATTGGTTGAATTGCTTGGCCCCCTGATCCTGTTCCTCATGTACAAATAAACCTGATGATCAGATTTATTTATCTTCTCTTCTCCCTCAGGGACACAGCTCTCTCTTGTTCTGTCTCTCCATGAGCATTCTCAGAGTGGTAAGACAGTAACGTAAGTGTAAGAATTGCCTCAGTGCTTAATAGTAAGGCCAGCACAAGCATGAGACATCAGGCTCTCTGATTTGTAGTCTGTAGTCCCAGCTTTCCCTCAGCAGTTCAAATCTGACTTATGTCTCTACATAAGAATTCCCAAGCAATCCCATGACAGTGGTTTTTCAGTAGTTTCTAATGGTGTGTCCCCATGGAGGAGGTTGCTCAGGACCCTGTTGCTGCAGTTTCTTGCTGAATTTCCCCCAGAGAAGCATCTTGCACATCACTGTGACTGCATTAGCTCCCAAAAAGTCTCAATGCACCAAGGTGGTCAGTGCAGCAGAAACCCCCAAGGTATGGCTGTTTGATAGATAGGTGGGCAGACATAGGTTTGCCAGGACAGAAGCATCAGTGAGGAGAGGCAGCAAGGGTCTCAGTCCATCAAAGTTTGACAGATAAACTTCAGTGTTGTCATCAGGACAGATTTGGGCCCTAGCTCCTTCATGACTTACCTCCCTTGCAGCCCAGCAAACTGTAATGCCACAGCTCTCCCTGCTGCTGCACACTGCTAACCCACTCAGCCTCAGCTTAAACTTTAACCTTGATACTGTCCATGGTCTCAGCCAAGCAACCAGTCCTGGGGTTCAGCAGCCATCTGACCTCAGACACAGAGGCAAAAAAATGAGGAAGCAAAAGGAGTTCTCCACTGTGTGTGGTTTTCTATCCCCTTCTCATGTGCCACCTTCAAGCAGAGCAGACAAAGCTTGGCACCGACTCTGTCTGCTGTTTCAGTGGCACAGAAAGTCAGATACCTCACCTGTTTTGTATGCAGCTCAAGGCAAGTCAGATTTCATAGCTTCCTAAAGCTCCCAGAGCCCCTACTCTAATTTATTTCAGGGTGAGGTTTTTGATTGTTTTAAGTTTTTTCTCTTCAGCAGTATCTTCCCATACTCATTTAACTTCCCCTTTTATAGAGCAATTATTTATTTTATTTCACAAGTGTACAGGGCACCAGCCCTTTTCATTGTAAGGTTACTGTGGATCTACATCAACTGGGTACTGACAGCTGTTTCTGCAGTCTAAGGCCAGGCTGAGGCATAGATCTGGACTCAGCCTGGAGAGAAGGAGAGTGATGCTACCTGGCACCACCTTTGATTTGCTGCCAGTCTAGGAAGAACCTGCAGGCACACTCTCCACTTCACAGAGCAAAGCACACCTCCTTAGGGTATCCAAGCCCAAAATCACAAGCAGTGGCAATCAAAACAGCCTGTGAATGGTGGTAGTATAGTCCTGGCACAAATAAGCTACAGTTCCTGCAGGTCTATCTTTGAATAAAAGGGGCAAGGAGTGTTTAGTGCCTGTCTCATATCAGTGATGCCTCACCATGCAGAAAGAAAATGTGCACAGATCAAAAAAGGGTGAGGGAGATGGGAAAATGCAGAAGAGCAAAGCAAGAACAAAGGAAAGAGCCTTGGAAAGTGACAGAGTATAAATTATTTAATTTTTAAATTATTTAAGGTAAGATCAAAGTCATAAATCAAGTTTGCATAAAAAACGGGGTGGGACTGTTAGCCACAGTCTTCTGGCCAAACTCCAGCCATGGGACTGATTGCATCCTGCAGCAGGGGATAGGCATAGAATTACTGTGTGAAAACAGACAGGCTGGGACAGAGACAACACAGGCATTGCTAACATTTGTTCTCTGGCCTGGAACAAGTCCTTTCTCAGTAAATCCCAGCTCTCCTCACTCTGTAAGGTGAAAATGGCTGCTGCTCCCAAACTGCAGACAATAACCGCAACAAAAATTTGGAATATCCAGCTCGGCAAAGTTCTCAGACATTACTTTAAGTGGTCTCCTTGGAAAGTTAGGGCAGCAGTTACTACCATGCTGACCATAAAACCCTGGGTGCCCCGTTCTGCCTCCCTGTCCTGCTTCCATGGAGATGAAAGGATATTTCTGCTAAATTATCTGAGGTAGTGCTGACAGGAAGAATTGCTTTTTCTAATATTTCTTCAATTAGTACTGTGAAATTATTTTGAAGAGATACTTTAAAAAAAAATCAGCTAGCCCTATGAAATCAGGGGGAAAATAGTGACTGTAGGCTGCCTTCTGGATATAATAGTTGATATATTTAAATTACCAAAATGGGACAGTATATTTGGTAAATACTACTGGTTATACAAATTATTTGCACTGATCCGTTCCAGAAGAGGAAGCTATTTTGATGCCATAATACTTTTTTAGCAGGGATAATACCATATTTCTGATGACTAGCTCCCAGGTAATTCAGAACACTAAGATTTGGGCTCTAAATACAAATTTTTTAGGTCTTTTGGGGGGTTTTCCATAGTTCTCAGGAAGCTAGGAACCCAAGCTTTTTGTGTCAGACTTTGGAAAGATGCTAAGACATGAATCCAGGTGTTGCATATTTGCTTAGGGTTTTTTTAATATCCTAATTATATTTAAATTTTATTTTTAAAGCAGAAATTTCTGTTTCCAGTAAAACATAAGTATGAAGGACAATTCTGATTTTTCTACTAATTATCTTCTGTTTGTTTCAAGGCTTGGAAAGTATTTTTAGATTTAACTCCCAATAGCCAGTTGCATATAACAGGCATGAATTTGTCAATTACAAATTTTACCAAATATGAGTTGTATTACTGCTTGATTACTTAGCTCTATGTATCACAGGGATACCATGAGGATCATTAGCTACGTCTGTATAGATCATTAGAGGTGGGAAATGTGGGATGCTGTTACTACTTTTATTATTATTATTATTATTATTATTATTATTATTATTATTATTATTATTATTATTGCTGATAATATGAAAAGTCAAACAAAGCATTGTGTAGTTCACACACAAAGACAGAAAATAGAACTGGAGAAGGTCATCACATTGTTCAGAGTAAGACTGGAGGGCAGTGATCACACTATTTCAGAAAGAGCTCATCAGAAATAATCTCCCTTTCTCCTCTTTCCCTTCTTCAGTTTCACACACATTTCTTTTGGGGGATGGGGAAGGCAGGCTGTGCACATTTTTCCTATTTCTAGCAGGATTTTTTTTTGCACTGAGAAAGTTCTTTCATCCTCTATGCATTTGCTCCTCCTATAAGAACAGGACATTATCTCCTGCCCTTGAGTACCATTGCAGTTTGAAGTAGGAAAAAGATGTGTGAGACAAACCCTTACACGTGTCTCTATTGATCAGACAACGTTGTCACCCCTTCCCATGCTTCAGGTGGCTTTTCCAGTGCCTCTCCACTTGTTTCTAGGACTGGGATGGTGACTGCAGGCCCCTATCTCTTGGATGCTGCCCAGGGGCAGGAACCAGTCTGGTAGCATCTTCTGGTCTCCTCAGAAGATCAATACTTGAGCAATAGAAAAGACAGCAGGAAAGAAGGAACAAATCTTTAAAATGGATGGGGAAAATTTCTAAATGCTGAGGCAAAGGTCATGTGAAGGAAGCAAAAGGAAGTACGTCCTTTCAGCTAAGGGAGGGAAAAGCTCCTCTCTGTCCCCTTGGATCAGTCTGAGATAATAAGGCTGCTGCCTTCCTGATTAGTGCTCTGTAGCCCCAGCCCAGGCAGGGAAAATCTGCATTTCAAATGGCATATTTTAAAGTACACAATACCCAGGGGCCCTGCTGCTATTGATTTGCCTCTGGTGGGGTCACTGCCTCACTTTCTACAGCTTTATTAACTGGGACCATACACTGGGTCTCTTTCAAAGTGAAAGGAGAGTGAATGGGACATTTGTCTTCCGGGGGAGCTGGGGAAGGAGTGGGGTGACATTCATTTGGAATGCCTTGGAGGTTTTAGAAGGAAGACTGGTGAACCTTTTGTTCTCCTTCTGTAAATTTCCCTAGAGCCATCCTGGGGGGGATGCAGGTAGGTCTTATGCAGTCAGCTTTTTCAAGGTGACTGAGTTCCTGTCCTCCCACCCTCGTGGTGCCACTGCACTCAGCCAAGCTTGGATCATCAGCCAAAGGGCTGGATAGGAACCCCCTCTTCTTCCCCCCTAACCTTTGCCCCTGAGCACCTCCAAATAGAGTAGCATAGGCACAAATGGGATCTGTGACCTCAGAAGTTTGGCAGGAAATTTGTCAAGGGTTGAAACATCCAGACATTCCTGGGCCTTGGTTGAGGCCACCTCTCCAGCCAAGGAAGCAAAACCATCAGCCAGGGTACACAGCTGTGCTGAGGTGTGGAATGCTCTACACCTTCCAGCTCCAGGCAACCCGACTTTTACCCTGTTGACTCGGTCTGAAGGCTGCAGAGAGGTCTGTGTCTTCTGGGTCATGATGTGAAGGGGTCATTTCGACATGCCAGAGGGGTTCCCAGGTCTCTAAGACATCTCAGAGAGTACATCCACAGAGCACTGAGTATAATAGATACTGGATGACTGCTCTCTGCAGGAGCACCTCTGCTTTGTGGCAGAAGCACCTGATCTAGTTTCCCACATCACAGGTTAGGACCTTATTTTTACCGCATCAAATCATGAAAACGGGTAAGAAAGTGCTAGAGGCTATAAAACTATTTATTTTAAATCTACAAAGCTACAAATATATGAAAAATTCATTTAAAAAACAAAATTAAAAAATCTTTAGGCATCACCCAGGTAAAAATATCCAGAACAGAAAATGAGATGTGAATCAACACACCTAGTGTTGGAATCAATCCAGTGTTAAATATGGATGGATGGATGGATGGATGGATGGATGGATGGATGGATGGATGGATGGATGGATTCCCCTTCCTCCTTTACCTCCTTGGCATACTTTCTAATATTGCCTGCTCAGTACCTATCCTGGAGAATAAACTCAAACCATGCCCAGGAACAAATGTACTCCTTAAAGGAGAGTCAACATAGTGTATAATATGAAAGATTGTCTAATCGCTTCATCAGTAATTGCAAAGAGCTAAATATCACTAATTAAAATGTTAAAGTACCTTGTGCAGGGTAAAATAAAATAGGATAATTAACCACCAAAGGGAAAGCCATCACTTTGTCACCAATCTTCATTAGGCTTCAAAAAAAAATAATTACTCAACTCCTGTACAAGACATTTCATCTGTAGGTCTAACAATGTATGGAGTCGGGTATCCTGTGTTACATTTTATTGCTGGAGAAATCAAGGCCAGTTTACTCAACTTGTGCATAGTAATTCAGCTGGTTGTTGTCAGAGCACCCCTTACTTTGGACTGGTTATGGATGGTGACAAGGAAAGTTTCAGCATTTGAATGACTGCAGTGATTTCACGGGTTTGTTTTAGTGTAAATGTGTAAGAACAGTTAATTTAGCTGATATTTCAATATTAAAGTGAACAGAAGGGAACAGTCTGTTCCTTGCCATGGTTTCTGAGGTCTGTTTAATTCTTAGAAGCATGTCCCATGTGCTTAAAGAACAGCACCACAGAATGATTTCCTGATGGGAGAGAGAGTGAAATCAGAGAGAGCAGTGAAACAGAGTTACTCCAATTTTGGAAACAGCAAAGACATGAGTCATTTCTAAAATCACCACAGAAAAACACTTCTCTTTCCCACTATTATCATCAAGTCACAGATTACCAGAGGCTGGAGAACGTACAGAGTGAGGTTTCCCAAACTTTCTGCACACTTCTTTCCCCCATACCTTCTCTTAGCACCCAGAAGTTGTTGCTGCTGAGGACTGGATACTCAGACATTCCTGCCCTGTCTGGCTCTTTGTACAGCACTGGGGAAGGAGACAAGAAGCAGCTTCAACCAAACTGTTTTATCCTTCAACCCAGGACCATTTTAAAATCTCTCTCCAGCCATACTGTACACATGAACTGCACCAGCTTTGTGCTGGTCTCTGAGTGTAACATAATGATAACAAAGCCTTGTTTTAATGAAAGAAGCATTTCCAGGATTCATATACATTCACCAGCACTCTGCTCCAAAATTTTTAGTCCCAAATTCCTGTAAATGCAGCCTGGGTTCCTTATTTCTGACTTTTGTTGGTGCCCTGAAAGAAGCAGCATTTTAACTTTCTAGAAAAAATTAACTGAGAAGGTCAACCCAGATCAAAACCACAGGGAAGGGGTTTTCTTATTAGACAAATGTAATCTTGCTAAAACAAGGAGCTCCCTTCTCTTGTACAGCACTTCTGGGGGTCTCTGATAGTGTGAAATCAGAGCTATGATCTGATTAGAAGTTTTGGTGACGGTTTTGCTCAGTACCCAGCTGAAGCCTCCTAGCAGCACCAGAAAAAGTAATTTTTGTCACTGACAGGTAGAAAAAATAACACATTATCCCAAGAGAACTTATACAAACTCCTGCTTTGGAGAAAGAATTTCTTTCTCCTACATACACTGGTCTCCCACCAGTAACCTCCAGGCTTTTCCAGAATTTTGATATGAGCAATGTAAGCCACAAAGCTGCTCTGCTCAGGTGTATTGTGTTTTGTCTGTATGAAGACTTTTCTCTGTCTTTCTGACCAGAGAAGTACCAAGGAGCTGGTGGGCTGAGTCCAGGTCACAGGAGACCTCCACACTAGGGAACACATGGTGGGGTGGGGACCATAATGACCCCAAATTGCAAAAGTGCCCTTTGCTTCCAGCCCCTGTAGCGAGAATGACCAAGCCTGGGGAGGAGCACAGGGGTGCCCCAAAACATCAGGACACGTCGCACCCTCACCAGGTGCTCTCCTGGTGCTGATGCCACAGGCTGCCCCGCCAGTGACCGCATGATATTTTTTCCCTGCTCTCTTTGTTCCAGCTGATGCAGCAGCAAGCGGCGATCATGGCGTCGGTGGCGCAGGGCGGATATCTGAACCCCATGGCCGCCTTCGCCGCGGCCCAGATGCAGCAGATGGCGGCTCTGAACATGAACGGCCTGGCAGCCGCCCCCATGACTCCAACCTCAGGTAAGGGGATGGCAGGCTGGAGAGGGCAAAGGGCAGGGAAATCAGGCCACATCCCACAGGACACGTGGCAGGATTTGTTGGCTCTTTAGCCAGGTGAGGATCAGGCTCTCCTCCCATGTAACAAGTGAAAGGACCAGATGAAAGGGTCTCAAGAGACACCAGGGGAGAAACTCCCCTGAACTCTAGAAGAAGTTTCTTTTCCAAAATGGTTGTCAAACACTGTAACAGACTGCCCATGGCAATGAACCAGTATCCATCCCTGGAGTTATTTAAAAGGCATGTAGATGAGGAACTTAGGGACATGGCTTAGTGGCAGGCTTGGCACTGCTGTGTTAATGGCTGAACTCAATGATCTTAGAGGTCTTTGAGAACATTAACTGTTCTGTGCTTCTATGACATTTCTCAGTCTAATCCCATACACAACTTCTCTTTAGCTCTAAGAACTCTCCAAATATCACAAATCATGCTACAGTGACCTACACTGGTTTATTGGGGCATATATGTGTCCAAGGGGTCAGTGCTGGTGCTATTGCAGCCAGGTTGTCCCAAAGATTAGCAAAATAGAGTTGTGGTGAGATGGAATATCATTAACAAGATTAATTCTTTCCTTGGGACACATAAGCATTTCCCCCTGTTGTGAAATTGGACAGAAGGTACTCAAGAAAGGCATCTAATGCTACCTGGATTAAGGATGTTTCTGGCTGCAGGAACAGAGACAGGTAGCCAGTGAAGGGCTTACAGGATCTGATTAGACTGTAAAAAGCCCATTCTAGGAGTTGCAGTATATGGTTCAGCAGGCAGAGAAATAAGCTGAGACAGGAACAGGACTGTCTTTCTTGGGGCTTGAAGAACATAGGTACCACTTGGGCAGGAACAGGTCAAGGAATCATGAGCTCTGGTAGTCCTGGACTAACACATGGCCTAGCATATCAGGGCATTAGAGAAGCAGGAAAAGTGGAGCCAAATCTTGAAAGAAGTGAGGATTTGGAAAGGTTTTCAATATACTAGAGTCTGGTAGGGAGGCCAAGGACTCAAAGACACATCTTGCAAGGCCCATTTTTAATAGAATATCACGAGGGAATGGGGAGAGAAGGGAGAGTAAGAAAGACAGATCTCATTCCACAAGACTTTGTGGAGACCCAAGGGAAAGTACTTGACTCCAAAATCTTATACTGCACATTTCAAAATATATGTTTACACAATGATAAATATATAAACAAAACGTCAATGGAGCTACTGCAAATCCAAATAAAAAAGTGGCTTAATTATATGTGCACCCTTTAAACCTACTGCTGGCAAGATTATCATATTTGCATTAGCTAGATTTGTTTTGTGTTGGTGGGAGCAGACAGAACATCAAACAAAGACTGCCTGGAATTCAAATATTGTCAGGGTCTAGAAAGCTGAATCCAGGCAGTAGTTTGCAATGGACCCACCAAAAAGGAACACAAGCTCTTTTGAATATACATAAGTATATTCTTTAAAAGAGTGCATTCTATGTCATGGGCGTGGAAACAGCTGTACAACAACCAAGTTCTGTGCCCACCAGGATCTCCAGCACATTAAAAACAATCCAGCTCTTTCTTTGGTGTAATCATTTCCTCTTCTGCTATGACCAATGCCTTTCATAGTCATAGAATCATGTAATTTAGGTTGTAAAGACCTTTACGATCATCAAGGCTAACCATTAACCCAGCACTATCAAGCCCACCACTAAACTGTATCCTTCAACACCACATCACTGTGTCTTTAAAATACATCCAGGGATGGAAACTCCACCATTTCCCTGGGCATTTCCCATTTCCATTTCCCTGGGCAGCCTATTCCAGTGTTTGACAGGATGAGAGGACTGTTAAACTCTCACTGTCAGAAAAGATGAGAGGAAACTTATGTTTTTTACATGCTTTCTGGATCACCCATGACTGGTCATTATTGAAAATAAGATGCTGGTTTAGATGATCCCTTGATATCTTTCACGGCAGCCAATTTTGCACTCTCCTAATGATATATTTTCAATCTCAGAGCCTATTCACTTTGGCATTATTTCAGATTTACCTTGAATGAGTAACTTCCTTCATGAAAAACCTCTGTGGTAGGTTGTGGAAATGTCCATTGACAATTATTCCTTAGAAGAAATGTTTAGACTTTGAAATTACTCCTTGTATTACTACAACACTCACAAAGCATGTGATAAGATGCATAGAAAATGTTTCACATAATGTCTGAGCAAGCAAGCCTACAACTCTAGCAGCAATTTCTGAGTAGCCAGGAGAGATATCTGAAGCCTAACATTAATTCTCCTGCTGGCTTTTTTTAGCATTCAGAAAGCCAAATGGAAAATGATCATTCTGTTTCATAGCAGGATTTCTAGTCATTGAAGTATATATTTTTTCTGCCTTGGAAGGAAAATGAAATATTTCAAAGTTCTTGCAAAAAAAAAAAAAAAAAAAAAAAAGCCACCAAAAAACCATACCAAACCAAAACAAAACAAAAACAAAAACCAAAAAAAACCACAAACAAACAAACAAAAAAAAATGAACAGGCACTAGAAAAAGTGTTTAGAACATTGGGAAAAAAATAGAAAGGAAGTGTTTTTATCTTCCTGAAGGAAAAGAAAAATTGTGCTAGGAAAAAGGTTCTGGTAACCCAGAAGTCCTAGAGGCTTAGGAGGAATTGGCTCAGCGCAGTGCCTCTCTGTTGGTCTCCTCTGTGTCCCGCCTCTAGGAGAGTGGATTCCTGGGAATACAACCGTAAATTCAATCCCATGGGACCTAGGGGATCAGAGTTTTGCATCCAGGCAAATCTAATAGATGAGCGACAGTATCCATCTCACCTGGCTTTAACCATACAAAACTTAAACATCTCTTTTGAACTGCAGTCAGTGCAATACGCACTCCCTATGGGTAATTCAGACCAAGAGAATTTTAATGCTGTTTGCTGTCATTTTAACAGTCTTCCATAATGGGTCAGGTTTATCTCAGACAACATTCCATAATTGTGAGGCAATTAATTTGACATTTCTGAGAGCTTGGTCCAGGTTTTACATTTCTCCCATCACTGTGACAATCTGGGTGAAAAGTGGGTCTGGCTGTGGGTCTGCTACTCTGTTACCTGCAGAGAGGGACTAGAAATGAAATTTTATATAGCCTTTCTTCCTCCTTTCCCTGCCTCCCTCCTTCCCTCCCTCTCTCTCTCTGCTTCTTGTAAATCTGCACCTGGTGCGGCTAAAGCAAGAGACCTCAAACAAGGGATGAAATCCACAACTGGCATGCACCACCACCATTTGTTTTCCATCGTGGCATTATGCCAGTTTTACTCCAGCTACAGATCTGACCTCTCCAGGGGGGGGTTTATAAGAAGAAAATTGAAGAGTTCCAATAAATATGCCTAAACTTCCTTAGACATGCACAAAATAGCAAGCAGAAATCCCTTGCTGCAATTTTAGAAAAAATTTATTTACATTTTCTATGCAAATAAAGGAGAGATCCAGAAAAGCAACTGAAATTTTAAGTAGCCTTTGTGATTTGGAAGCTGATGGCATATGCTAAGAGCATTGCCTTTGGACTTCAGTTGCCACTGCTGGCTCCCTTTACCTCCACAGAGGACATTTTTAAAGGCCAACACCATTTAAATAAGAAAAGGAGAAGCAGCAGCTTGTCTGCTCAGGGTATAAGAAATGAGCTGAAGTACTGCCTAATTTTTTGTGGGATACACAAATCTGAACATATTAAAATATCTCATGCATCTGTAGCAGCTTTCTTAAAGCACCAACACGGATTTAAACAGTGATTAAAGGGTGTTGTTGAACTAACCCATCATGGAATGCTGCAATGGTGAAGAAAATATCTGCAATTGGTTTAAAAGAGAGGTTACTGCAAAAAATTGTGCTTTCAATCAGTAGTATACCCTGACGCAGAAAGATGTTGTTGAAGATAACATAGTTTAATTTCCCATGCACACCCAGCAAGAGAAAAATATTATTTCAGGTTCATTGAAAATTCATTTTTGGTCCCTGCAATCATCCTGAACATGTTGCAAGAAGACTAGACTGTCCAGTCATTTTACACATACATAGGAGTAAGATAGTGAGGGAGCAGATGGATTTAATTCTCTCCCAGAAATTTAAGAAATCTCTACCAGTGGGTGACAAGATCCCACTCAGAACATAAAGACAAATTTGTTCTTCTGAAATAGCAGCATTACAGTCTCCCACAGGATGCATCTGGGAAGAAGGGAAGAATAACATTCCATTAAAGGAGCAAATTTAGTCCAAATTTTGCCCCTGTTCACTGGGAGATATCTGTTAAAAGAGTAGGAAGTCAAGTTTGGACCAAACAGTAACATTAAAAAATGTATCACTGGCTACCTTTGGGCTACAAATAAACTTGACAAGTCTTTTAAGGATCCCTAGTGCTGTGAAAGTTCAGAATGAGTTTGCACATGACAGATGTATTCATGAGAGAGTGCAGACACACCAGTCCTGGAAATCTATACACCCACAGAGATCCAAAGAGAATCAGATAGGAACTGCTGTAGAAAGCTGGGGTTGAGCGTTTTTGGAGGTTTTTCAAGCTTGTCTTGAGAGCTTTCTGAACAGGGGAGCAACTGCAAGCAGTCCATTTATTTGCTCAACAGCTTGGGATCTTTCTCATTTCTCAGGTGGTTTTGTTTTGGCTTTTTTTAAGGTAGTGGTCACAGCTGTTGTGTCAGCAGTTTTCTCCATGAAGTTGTCTCCAGTACTCACCAGCTCTGCCCTTGTGTCCTCCTCAATTTCAGGTGGAAGCACGCCTCCTGGTATAACTGCACCAGCTGTGCCTAGCATCCCATCTCCAATTGGGGTGAATGGTTTCACTGGCCTCCCGCCGCAGGCTAATGGGCAGCCAGCCGCTGAAGCCGTGTTTGCTAATGGCATTCACCCTTACCCAGGTAAGCCAGACTAATACTGTGCCCACAGCCTGTTGTCTCAGTCCTAGGAATACTAGGACAAAACCCAACAAAAGCCTGTGGCATATGTTCAGAAAGGTTATACCCCAGACCACCAGGGCTCATTATAGCATTGGTGTATTGTGTCTTATGCAGCTACAGTGTTAAACGGTTCAATCTGGATGATAAACATCAAGGGCATGTTGGAGGTGGAAAAACTGTGTCCTGAATATTTGAGTGCTCACCTGCTGGATAGCATGTTTGGTGAATACAGTCAGAACAGCCAGCATGTTTTGCTTCAGCTGAAAATTGACCTAGACTCCTGAGCAGTTCATGCTGGCAGATCCCTTCACAGTACTCCCAAGGGTCTTGCTTCTGGTTAGCCTTGAAGAAGCTGTGTTAAGCCTGTTTGCACCCAGCACTGATAGCTCCTGCTGGAACTCCCCTGCAGCCAGATGGCTCTGGGAGGGTGATCCGAAGGGTCCACATGCCCGCTGACCCAAGCAACTTCCTGTGTGCAGGGAGCAGGTGTTGACCTCCGAAATGCCCACTGCACACAAATCCTGCTGCCTTACCAGGCCTGGAGAGTGAAGCTGCATTAATATAGCCTCTGAATGGGCTCAGGGTCACCCTTTGGTGGCACATTGCAGGAGAACTGCTGCTGGGATTCACACTGTGCCTAGCTCGAAGATGCCAGCACTACAGAAGTGATTTTGCAAGCACTGGCAGTCAGCGATGAATGAGGGAGGTTAAAGGATCCATACCTGCCTCTATACCCGTATTTAAAAATATACATACAGTCTAAATCTGTAATTACCAATTACCATTTCTTAATGTGCACCTACACTTTTTCAGCATTCTCAAGACTTGAGATAGCTCTCTCCTCCAATACACTTCCTCTGAAAAGTAATTTTATACCATTCCTGTACATACAGTAATGGTAACAATCATAGCAATAAAAATCTAAGTAAATGTTACTAATTGATCCTAATCACCAGCTGGCAAAGGAATATTTTACCCTGGGGAACTGATAGATTGATCTAGTCTGTTAGGAAATCAAATACTGAGTTCAATGTTCCAGCCAAAAAGCCCTATAAAACTCTAAGAAAAAATAATTCTTTCAATCTTAGCCAGTCCTGAAAACTCAGAAGATTTATCATCCTAGGGGACTTCATGAGCTACAAGGAAAAATACCATATAGTATAGAAATACCAAAGTCTTACCTAGGTATTGACAAATAATTATCCTCCTCCCAACAAACACTTTGAAAACATGGGCTTTGAGTTCAACTCTAAGCAGAATTAAAACCAAAGGACTTACTGTACTCAAAATTAGGCATATATATATATATATATATATATATATATATGTGTGTGTGTGTGTGTGTGTGTGTTGTAGCAATATAAGAACAGGCGAGATTTTGGAGTCATCAGAAGACTGCAGAGAGCTCTTAGTATGTTCAGTGAGTTCAACCACAACACTGAGAAAGCATTCTGTCTTTAAGGTTATATAAACACGGCCATCTGTTCTTCTCTCCATTTATTTCAGTTTGCCTGTTTGCCAGTCAATCATTTCTCTGTTTATTCATCCACTTCTATGTATGTCTGTCCTTTTTTCCTGGTTTATTTAGATCCTTTTGGCAAATTTCAATGATCCATTACTGTGGGTACAGAGAAAAGATGTTCTTTCTAGGTGAATCTTAATGTCTTGAGCTTTTGTTACTATCCCAAACTATCTCCATAATTAAAGAATATCTCAGGTATTTCATCCATGGTTATATAAAAGTCAATGGCCTTAATCTGATTCTCTCTGAGTTTCAGAGAGACTTGCTCAGGCAGCAATTCACAGTAAGTCCCTGCATAAACACCAACAGGCTGACACACAGAAAGGTGACAGTCATCCTGCCCCTCTTTGCTGCAGGCAGAGAGACTTTCTTCTGCCAATAGAGCTGACATCCAAACAGTCTGAGCCGTGTAAAGTTTGGATTTATCTCAGAGCGACTTCAGCAATATATTTGTCTTTCTCATTGCTCGGTTTCCCCATAATGTGGTGACACTTTAAGTTACACCAGAGGTGTAAAGGGAACAGTGGCAGATCAAGCACACTCCTCTCATTATGCTTTTGTCTGTCCCTGAAATGCTGAAAGCAAGTCCACATAGCTTGCATGATGCTTTTGCTCCATCTAATTGTGTTCCTTCTCATGAGCATTTATGCACTCTCCAAACCTCTCCTCCTTGCCACAGGCTTTATTCAGTCCTGGAGCTTAGCAGCATGAAAAATAAAAGGATTATACATTTATATGGGTAATGAGAACATCCACAGCCATATTAGACTGGATAAAAAAGTAGATAGGAGACAAAACTTCATGTTTTATGATATAAGACAGCCACTAATTGCTTGGGGTTAGAAAGAAATTTTCATTACTGGGCAGCTTGTTCCATCATTATGGGATTTTTCTCACTCTCCTCTATTGCATCTCTTACTGTCCTGTGGTTCTGCATGGCTCTGTCCCTAAATGCAAGGGTAGAAATAAAATATTACAGCTGAGCAGGCAATTGTGCTAACAATATAGAGAAGGGAAGATCATGACAGTCCCCATCCAAAGCCAGCATCTTCCAAACAACTTTCTTTTATGGTGTATCTCTCATTCTGAAAGTGGCTAAGACTGCTGTTATATTATGTACATAATCATAGTCTTGCTATGATTATGACTTGCCATATATTGCTTAAATCCTGAATATTGCTTTCAGACACTCCTTCATACTCCGCAAAAAAACCTCAAATGTGGGTTCACACCATTACAGCCTGTAGCAGAATATTCTTTGTTGCCTGAAAATAGCAAAACAGGACAATGAATGTCTCTAGAGGCGTGACATCCATATCATTCAGACCCTAATAAATTCCATTAATTGTGCAGTTTATCTACAGGTTCACCTTTCTGACCAGTCATACTATTTTTGATGCTGCATCCAAAGGACTCCAGAATACCACAGTCTTTATAAAACAGATTACGTAATTGTATGTAGTCTGTAATTCCACTCTTTATTATTCTGTCTTCCCCTGTGCTCTTTTTTCATGATTCCCTGTGACTGGAGAAGGGATGTACATGCTGTCATTTCAGTCTGATTACCAAACCATCCATGCCTTTGTGGCAAAGGCCAGAATACTTTGAACATCCCTGCTCACCAGGGCTTTGATCACAGTCCCTGTCCCTGCAGGAATTAGCTTTCTCTGTTAATCTGGTCAATGCTATGGATCTATGCGTGGCACTAGAAAACCATTCCTAGCAGTCATAACCTTTGCAAGCCAAGGTCTCACCTTCTCCAAGATCAGACAGTACATAATGCCTCTGTGCACTTTTTGCCACAGAGTGAATAACAAGGCAATAAGTATTCCCTCTTCCACTAGTCTGAGCCCCTTTGGAGATTTGACCTTTTTGTGTATTAATTCCTGCCCTTTAATCTTTCAGTTTGCAGACCTATTGAACATGGCAATGTGTCACAATATATAGTGGGGACAAAGAGCATAATCTATTGTGCCATGATCTTGTGAGTCACTTTGCAGCAGCACAAGAGCGTTTGCCATTTCCACATTACTCACAGTAGCAGGGATTGCACTCTTCTGCCAAAGCTTCTTAGCCACCCAGAGCCCAGAGTGTCCCTTGTAACCATGTGTGATGTACAGTAACAGTAGACACCACCTGCACTGGCTTCTGCAGTGTCTCACATCATCAGAATTCTGCTCTCTGGTAACAACAGGTCCTGCCCTGCTGAATTGCATTGTGAGGAGCTAGAAAAAAATTCTCACTCCAAAGATAAAACCTCTTTGGTAAGAGAAGGAGACTGAGAGATGAGAAAATTGGGAGACCAAAGGTAGCAAACAAGAGAGTGAAGGGAGTGGCTGTCAAAGAATCAGTGAAATGAGAGAACTGGAAGAAGGAACAAAGCAGAGCTCCCAGAAAATTTAAGACTGCTCCATAATCTTCTGTCCAGTGATGTGCCCAGAAAAAAGGAAAAATATACCACATAGCATCTCACACCCTCTTACTGCACCTGGGCCAAAGGATGTCCAACTTCACCAGAGCCGGGGATGGTCCAGCAGTTTGGCAGCTTTGTGGAGCCTTAGATGGGGAATACTTTAATGAGTGCTGAGTTCTTCAGCTTCCTCACCAGGGAAAGCAGAGGGGCAGGCAATGATCTCTGGTAACCAATAACAGAACCTGAGGGAATGGTCTGAAGTTGTGTCAGAGGAAATTAAATTTGTGTATCAGCGAAAGGTTCTTCACCCAGAGGATGGTTGGGCATTGTAACAGCCTCCCTAAGAAACTAGTCCTAGCACCAAGCCTGACAGGTTCAAGAAGCATTTGGACAATGCTCTCAGGCACATGGTGTGACTCTTGGGGTTCCTCTGTGCAGGATTTTGATGATCCTTATGGATCCCTTCCTAATCAGGATATTCTATGATTCAGACTAAGTGCATTTGGTCTGGATTTAGATTGCTGAGTTAAAAAAGCTAAGTCCCCTCAATTCCTTGTTATCTATTAAAAGTTTGTCACCTCATTTATTATTTTCAGGCACAGAGTGGTTCTGTTTCTGACTGCTCACCACTTTCCTGTCTGGCTCTATCTTTCCACTCTGGAGACCTAGCACAAGTTTCTCCACCACCACTCCCCTTTAGCACACAGTACATCTGGGCTAGCAAGACAGCAATCTCCACTTCATATCCTGTTCAGGGTCCAGCCCTCTCTGTTGAGGACTAGCTGTCAGTGCAAACAGGCAGCCAAGCTTTTATGCCCACATTTTTCCAAGTCACCACTGAGACAGTCAGTAAAGACGTGCCTCACAGGGAATTCCTGTTCTGTAGCAACTCATGACTTTATAACTGAACTAAGACCATCAACGCATTTTCCTTGGCTCAACAAAGAGATATTAGGAACCAATTTCACCCACTGCCAGCAGAGACAGCATTCAGACTCCATCTGTAATTGTTATCATTATCCGAGG